CTTGCCCCATTTTTATTTTTGTTTCGTCTCAGATGATCTGATCAGGCACTTCTTAGTAATCATATGCAAAATATGGCAAGAAAAAGCCACAGACATCGTCAGCCATGTTGGATATCATTGATCCAAGTAAAAACGTCTTAAGTTTTCTTCCTGATTTCAATGAGTAATGAAATGGTCATAATGAAATGCTAAGTATCCGGGTAGTTTTAAAATTATTCCTGCCATTTTGTCTTGTTACCTCATTTTTTTTTATTTTTATCTTTGTCTGTTTTTTAAAGGTAAAAATCTAGAAATCTGAAGAAAAATAGCTGTCATAAAAAGCTGAGAGTGTCCATCACTTTTTCTTTGTTTTTTTTTTTTTTTATTTTCATAATTTTCTTTTTCAAATTGCTGTTAAAAAAAAGTTGTGAAATATTGAATGTGAAGACAAAGAGTAAAAGGATGAAAGATAGGGAATGAAGCCGTTAAGAGAAGGGAAAATGTAGAACGAGGTGAAAGAGAAAAGAAAGAAATTGAAGAGGGAAAAACCTATAGGAGATAAAGTAGTATGTATAATGAAGAAAAGAAGGAAAGAATAAAAAAGATGAAGAAAAAGAAAAACAGATAAAGAAAAATGAAAGAAGGAAAAGAAAAAAGAAGAAAGAAAGAAAAATCTGAAAAAAAAGTAAAAAGTTAAGAAAATGAACATGGAGAAAAGAACAAAAAGGAAAGGGAAAAACAAATGAAAAAAAAACGAGAATGAAACATGAAGAAGATAAAAAAAGAAAAGATGAAAATCAAATGGAAAAAAGGAAAAAGAAAGCAGAAAAGTTAAATTGGCTGATTTATTTTTTACGACTTAGCATGTTATTTAAATCGGGAAATTTTTTTAGATTGTAAGAATGTTTCGGAGATAATAATGATTTAGTGATACAAGTCTTACTAATTAACCCATAGCTCGCGGGAGAAGAGGTCGATTCATAGGGTCATTTGCGCGTAAGTGAATATAACGAACCCGACCGGAATTGGAACTCGGCTCTCCGATTTCCAATTCGAAACTATTATTCATTACACCACCCGCACATCCAAGCTTACAGCACCTGGTATTCCCAAGTGCTCATCAATCTCGGTTCTGACCAGGCTCTTATGTTGGTTTTACAATGGTACATTCTGATGGCTCACTTTATGGTTCTTATGATGCTTCTTATGAGCACTCTTTATGATGATTCTTTATGAGAACTTTATTAAAGTTCTTATGACAGCTCTTTATGACGGTTCTGATAATGTTTCTTTATGATGATTCTTATGAGAACTTTATTAAGGTTCTTATGACAGCTCTTTATGACGGTTCTGATGATGTTTTTTTATGATGATTCTTATGAGGATTTTATTAAGGTTCTTATGAGAGCTCTTTATGACGGTTCTGATGATATTTTTATGATGATTCTTATGAGGACTTTATTAAAGTTCTTATGACAGCTCTTTATCACGGTTCTGGTGATGTTTCTTTATGATGAATCTAATTATATTTTTATAATGGTTCTAATGGAAATTAGCATAATGTTAGTAGTTGTGAATTCTTATAATACTATTTGCATAATTTGCTTTTTGTCATTAAGTCCTGTATATTATTTTTGTTTCCCCTCTTTGTGGTTGACATTCACTTTATATTGCATCTGTTACAGACAGACACTAATTCCCTCCATGCCATGCACATTGTAACGAGACCCCTCTCTCGCTCTTTTCGTATTCCATTGGCGTGATGTAAGTTCGATTCAGACGGATTTTTCCTACGAACCGCTGCAACCAAATCAGCAACCGACTCCCAGTCACTACTATTTTAACCTGTTCAAGTCTAAGGTTAACAATTATCCTTCCCACTTATCCTCATAAACTGCACTTCTTACTCTTCCCGCTCACGCAAAAAAATTTTCAGTAACTGAATCATCTCGAGTGACTCTTGCACATTGTATAGGGTGCACTTCATTGTTTTAAAAAAATCTCTTTATCATCTGTATAAATAAAGCACAGTGTACGTCTGTCCGTCTGCCCGTTTTTCGATCCCGGTGAATCATGAATGACCTGAAGTAATAGGGAGCTACTACTATAGTTTCACGCAATTAAAAATTAAAGAAATGCTTCAAGATTTACATATCGAACAGAGTGAAAGGTTTAAAAACAATTCTTTATTAATGACTTAATTTCGCTTTTTGTCGTAATTGCAATTGATATTGTCTAATTGAACCGTATTTAAAACTTACGTTGTTCATATGTTGTTGTTTTTTTCTTCTTCTTTTAGCACACGTACTGTGACGTATTCGAAATATTGCATAGTTCCGGTTCATTAATTTCTTTTAACAGTCATTTTATGTGAAAAGATCCTAATGAATAGTGATCTTAAAGAAAATAAAAATTTTGACCAAGATAATTGTAAACAAACTACGAAGATCGGTTGCGTACACGAAGAAAGAGTATGCCGAATTAAAATCTTGAATAAAGATAAAGTAATTTTATTTCTTAATTCTTATAACTTTTACGTACATAGGACGCTGAAGATAAAAGGCCGAAGGGTCAAAAGCCCTAATCGTGAGGTAGCCTAATGTCCACCCGAAGGCTATTAGAAGAATAATATATGATTTTTCTTATTGAAAGAGTTTATGTACATTGGCATGTGTTATCCCATAGGGCAAGTTGTATAATGTGTTATGCTTGGATCTGTTACATATTATAAACATACGCACGATTATAGGATGACCACTTTCCCAAACCAAACGATTCTTTTTGTTTTGTGGGACGCTTTCTGATGACAACTAAATGAAAACGTTATGTCTCAGATATACCCGACGTAGCTTATTGCTTTGCAACAGAGTATATAATAGCTTTTTTTTTCCAAAAATGAATGTTGATTTTAAAACAATATTTAAAAAATTAATAGAGTTTTTTTTTTACAGCTTATCAAAAATTTGAAGGTTATTTAAAGCCAAAACAATTTTTTTTTTTATATTATAAATTTTTTTTTTTTTGGTAGATAATAATGATTTACAAGTCTTAACCCAGCTGGGGTACGAAGAGGTGAATTCATGCCTTTCCCAAGGGCATTTACACGTAAATGAATCTAAAGAATCCGACTGGAATTAAAACTCGGCTTTCAAATTTCCAATTCCGAGCCGTTAGCCATTATATTACCCACGCATCTAACATTATATCAGCCAGTATTACCATGCTACCTATCGACCGGGATCGTTGCTTAACTTCAGCGATTGTACGTGAACCGGTGTTTCAACCTCATACGGCCAGAAGCCTTAATAATGTGTAACTTATTTCTTATGATCTCGCTTTGCCTCTACTAAGCCAACGTAATTTGTCACACTACCTGATACATAGATTGAATGCTTAAATCCAGGAAAGCAGATAATCTCTATTAGTCCTCACCGATTCGTCTTTATAGTATTAATCTGATTCTCCACTATGTAAATGTATATTTTTGAACTACCTGACCCAGGGATTGAACTCAAATTCCAGGCAAGCAGGAGACCTCTATCAGTACTCAGCAGTTCTTGCTTAGGGAGCCAATCTACCCCTTCACTTCAATTCCTCTAATTCTTCCAATACTACTTTGCTCAATTTCCAGGCAAGCAGATGATTCCTATCAGTACTTACCAATTCTTGTTTACGATGACAATCTGTCTCTTCACTTCAGTTCTTTGAATTCTTCCCGTGCTACCTGGCCCTAGGATTAAATTAGCAACTTCCAGGTAACCAGGCAAATTTGAAATTATAGAAAGTCTATAAGGATTATGAAGTGATGTCAACTTTGGATGAAAACATATTATGGAAGAAGGTTAAATTTCGAATAACAGTGCAAGAGTTTCAGAGCAATCTACGGTGCAAGCAAGTCAAGAATTGTCACCCCCACCTGAGCGCAGCTGGGGTAACAGCTAAAAGAGGGATTAAATCCTGATTTTGCAGCTTTTGATTTTAATTTCGCTTTGCTGTTTAAAAACCTGACATCTGATTCACTATTACCGTCTCTGACATTATTTTCCTTCTTCTCTTTTGCCCTTTATGAACAAAACACACAAAAAAATAGAAGGCTCTGTAAACACCAAATGTGAAAGGCAGCAGGAACGATTCACAAGGCAAAACAAATCTTCCAAATGCTACAGACATTATCAGTTAACTAAAATCAAAAGCCAATAGATTAAAAGATAAAAAAAAAAACTTGGAAAAAACAATTTTTTTTTCAAACTTTGAAATCATCCTTGAATGACCAAGGAATTATTATTATTTTTGATTGACAATTCGATTTATCTTCTTGCACAGAGCCAAATCCTTTTCGTCACTTAAATATTTTCAAAAATATTGATCAAAGTAAGAGCTAATCCCTAGATTAGGAATTTCTACATGATTGACTTTGGTAATGTTCCTGGCACGTGTCAGATATAACAGAGTAGAAAAAATGGTCGCCTCGCAGAAACAAGCAAATAATAATAATAATACCATTGATAAATATTGAAATAATGTAATATTAATAACAATAATAAAAAACGAGAGTAATAAAAAGACTACGATTTATATTGATAATTAAAATTATGATAATACCACCAATAATAAACCCAATATAATAGAACTACTAACAAAACTTTTGAGAGAATGAATCCTGGCCGATTAAATGAATATTGATTATTTGAGACAATAAGCTTTATTCTGTCATTTTAATTCCGTCATTCTTATTCTAAATGATTTTCCTTTACTTTTGTTTATTTCCTTCCCTTTGCGTCTCCCAAGTGAATTTTTACAGCATTAGAAAGATTCTGTATGGTCATAAACAAAGCTATTGGAATAACTTTTAAAAATTTGCGATCAACTAACCATTCCAAGAGATTAGTATTATTATGTAAGATTCCCAAGAGAAAAGAGGAATTTCTAAGAGGTTCCATGGAATTCATCCAGAGAGAATTCAGTAACAGTTGGTTTGTTTGTCATTTCTTTCTGAATCAACCCTTTTATCCAAGTTATTCATGAAGGCGCGCCGTTCTATGCTTTCCACCCACAAACATGTGTGAATGCTACTTTCAGTGATTAAGCTGAACGATTTCTTAAGATAAATTCTAAATACCCGATTGGCCATAATGATCGTTCCAGCTCTCTCATTAGATGGCTTGAGGAGCGTTTAGGTTTTAAATCTATCTATCTATCTATCTATCTATCTATCTATCTATCTATCTATCTATCTATCTATCTATCTATCTATCTGCCTGCCTGCCTGTCTATGTATGTCTGTTTATTATCTATCTATTACCAGTTTATTCATTACCTATCTATCTATCTATCTATCTATCTATCATAGTATGTTCATATCTATCTATCTATCTATCTATCTATCTATCTATCTATCTATCAACATAATCTCGTATCTATATTTCTGCGTTATCACGTATCTATCTGTCAATCTATCTACTACATAGTCACGTATCTATCTATCTATCTATCTATCTATCTATCTATCTATCTATCTACCTATCTATCTATCTAAATCTGTTCCGAGTTATCCACACTATTGATATATGTATCGATCACATCTATTAGAATGAGCACATAGAAGCCATTAATCAGAAGAAAACAGGCAAGTCCCTAAATATAGGACATTGTTAAGGTTCACCAAGTTCCCTGGAAGGTCACAGATCAGTCAAAGACTATTCTAAGAATCAGATGTGATTTGCTTGAGTAGAGAATGCATTCTTACCACAGCATTCAGACATACCTGAAGATAATGGAATTCTGTGGAAGGTTAGTGAATAGAGATGCTGTAAATCTTGTGATAAAAGCAAAAACGAAGAATAGTCATTGAATGGTTCAGTGATGCAATGCTAGAAATAGGGTCAATGGTAAAATGCCAGAAAAGTGTTTCAATGATAAAATTCTAGAAAAATGGTTCAGTTATAAAATTGTATCTATCTATCTATCTATCTATCTATCTATCTGCATCAATTCGTATCTATCACCTACACCGTCTGGTATCTATATATCTATCTATCTATCTATCTATCTATCTATCTATCTATCTATCTATTTATACCGTCTCAAATCTAAATAATCAATATATCAAATCTGTATAATATCATATCTATCTACATATCTATCATACATCGTCTCGTATCTATCTATCTACATCATCTCGTATGTATGTTTCTACGTTGTCTCCTATCTATCAATCAATCTACTTCATAGTCACGTATCTCTCTCTCTCTCTCTCTCTCTCTCTCTCTCTCTCTATTCTATCTATCTATCTATCTATCTATCTATCTACATCGTCTCGTACCTATCTATCATATACACTGCCTTCTATCTATCTATCTATCTATCTACATAATTCTCGTATCCATCTTTCTACACTGTTTCATATCTATCTGTGGGCCGGGGGGACAAATATTTGTACACATACAAATTTTCAATTAATTGTGTTTCTAACTAACGAATAAACAATTTTCACATAATTAACTGTACGCAGATGCATAATAACTAAATATGCATAGAAAACAGAAAAATGATTTAATAGAAATAAATCCCATTTATGCATTTTAATTAGATTGAGTCATATGTAATTTCAGTCTTGGAGAACAAATTGTGATGACGAATGCATCGTCCAAACTAACGTGATAGTTAAGAATAAATTTTGAGCTCACTAACGTATAACAACGTTTAACGCCAGATGCAGTGGATTGAGATGAATAAAACTCCACGTAAGAAATATAATGCTCTGTGTTTTGTTGGTTTATTATTTATTTAGGGTACTTAAAACGCAATTATGCACGATGATTGATATTGGAGAGAGATCATTCGTAGACATAGAGAGTCTAGAATATGGTTTGAAGATCGTCTGAAGTGCGAAACTGATACTCCCTATGATGTAGATTCCAGTGTCTAATCTACACCCGTATATATATATATATATATATATATATATATATATATATATATATATATATATATATAGTATAGGATTGAATAGACGGAATAAAAATTCCCATAACCAAAAACAGTATTCTTAAAAGAGTGCTCAATACAGAATAGGGCAAATAGTATTTATTCAAAAATTATGACATAATCATGTTATAATATCACTACGAAAATAGCTATTTCGTTTCAACACTTCTGGTGTCTTGTCAAGTGATTAAATTTCTAAATCTTATCAAAAAACATTTCCCCAAAACCAATCCACTCAGTAAAATATTCAATTATAATACTCTTGAATTAAGCTATTTTTGTGTTGATGACCTAGAAAAAATAATTAAAAAGCGCAATAACCGAGTCTTCAACAAGTATAAAAACTAAAAAAAACTGATTGCAATGTTGCAGTGAGTAAGACTAAGTATAATGACACTAATAATAACGTGTGTAATTGTAGGAATCCCAATAATTGCCCACTACAGAATAATTGTTTATCTAATTCTTTAGTTTATCTCAGTATTTTTTCTACACTTGTAAACCCCAATATTAAAAATTTTACATTGTAAGTACTATGAACACCGTTGGTATCGACATGTACAATCTTTCAGCAACAGATTCAGTAATAATTAATACAAGTTTTCGTTGACTAAGTATTTTTGGAGTTTAAAAGAGAAAAACAAAACACCTACTGTTAAATGGAAAGCAATTAAGAGTGCTCGAGCATGTAATTCTCTATATGCCCTTTGTTATCTATGTCTTAAGGAAAAATTGGAGATTATTAGATTTAAAGACAAGATCAGTCTCTTAAATCAAAGGAATGTACACACTGTTAATTGTAAACATAGCTCACAAATTAACTTATAAAATGGGTAGTAACATTTTCAGCGACAATGCAATATTATTGTAAGTTTAGATTATTATTACTTCTATTATTTGTAATTCTCCTATCTATTTGTATTCATGTACATGTATGTATGTATATGTATATATAGATTTTGTGTGTGTATATTTATGTATATGCATATGTATGTATATATATGTATATGTATGTATACATGTATATTTTTGTATTTGTATATGTATATATTTGTATATATATGTGTGTATGTAAGCAAATATATGGATATAGATCCGACAGTATGAAGAAAAATATATACGGAAAAAACAAACAAAAATCCTTATATACAATTATGCTGTTTTAATGTTAATATGTCAACGTTGGACGTTTCGGTCTAATAAACCATCTTCAGGACATATTCATAAATTATAACATTATCAATACAATATGTGTGTATGTATGGTTGTAATGTATGTGTATGTTAATATTTATCTGCCCACACACATATGTATATCATAGTATTTTTAAATGGTTTATCAATGCTAACTATAATTTACATTTCTTTGATAGGGATTTAATTTAGAATTGCTTGTTGACTTAATACTAAACAATTGTGATTCGTTATATATTAATTATGAATCGACTCTGAATTCATTATAGTCATTTAGATTAGACTGTGCTCATGTTTTTTAGTATGTATGTTTCTACATCCGTTTATATAGGTGTATCCACTTAGATACTTGTATTTGCGCATGTGTATCCGAGTGTTAGTTTATTTGTGTGTTTCTATATGTAGAAGTGTGGGTTGATATATTTGTTTGTATTTATGCCTATGCGTACGTGTATATATGTGCATAAAATATGCATATATATATATCTATATATATATATATATATATATATATATATATATATATATATATATATATAGAGAGAGAGAGAGAGAGAGAAAGAGAGAAGAGATAGATAGATAGATAGATAGATAGATAGATAGATAGATAGATCAGCGTATGCTGATACATATACATGTATACACATTCTATCTTCTTTTTACGATACACACTTTTCTCTCGTTGGAACTACTATAACCTATTCCTTATACATATATATATATATATATATATATATATATATATGTGTGTGTCTGTGTGTGTGCATGTATTTATTTGTCTATATATTTATATATTTGTGTCCGTGTATGTATTCATGTGTACTCATACGTATATTGGTATATATGTGTGTACATCTATATATACATACATATATATATATATATATATATGTGTGTGTGTGCGCACGCGCGTGTGTGTCTGTTTGTATAAATGTGTTTTCATTTCTATATATGCTGGTTCTTATTTTCCATTTTGTATCTTGTTTGGTCATGCCCTCGTGAGGGGGGTGACTAAATACTGTTTGGCCATGCGAATTTGGCTGTTCGATCATTTATATCTTCATGCGTATATGTTATGTCTTTGTTCATTGGTATGTTTATTCTTAGTTGATCTTTTTCTTTGCTTTGTTCATAGCCGAATATTTGTTTTTTCATTTATACCCTTCATAACTTTCATCAATTAAACCCTCTTTTTATCTATATATGTTTGCCCGAGTATGTAAACTTTTAATAGTTGGTTTGTACTGACTTATTAAAACTTTTAGGCATAAATCATGGTGGGTCTGTCGATGTCTTTATTCGTGTATGCGTGTGTGATTGTATATGCTTTTAATTGTATATATATATATATATATATATATATATGTGTGTGTGTGTGTGTGTGTGTGTGTGTGTTTTTGTGTCTCATTTTATTTTCTTTGATATGAATCTAAATATATTTATTTGTTATGATGTTTTAATCTCCTTAGATTAACTTTTGCTCTTTTGCTCTCAGTGAAAATTTGGCTTTTCGATTAAAACAATAAATAAATAAAAAATATATGTATATTTTCCTCCGTTCCTTCTTTGAATAATTTCATAATATTTTAATAATATTTTAATAATATTTAATGCAAGGTTAAATTTAAAATTTAAACTTTGTAATTTTTCTTTATAGTAAAATTAAAAATGAAAGAGAATGATTTCTTATTTAGTCTAACATTAACATTAAGACATTAATAAATTCTATCTAAGGATAGTTGTCAAGTTTTTTGAATTATCATAAACTTCTATTTTGATTGGTCATTGTAGCTGGCGTAACAATATTTCCCATACTGATATTGGTTGGTTTTGAGCTTTTTAAAAATCTTTATTCTGCAATCAACACCATCACTTAACAAGACACTAGAAGTTTTGAAAGAAAATGGCGATTTTTGTAGTGATATTATAACATGTTTACGCTATATTTTTTAATAAATATATATATATATATATATATATATATATATATATATATATATATATAGGCATTGAAGTCAACACCTACATACGACCAATCCCTGATATTGAGCACTTTTACTATAAATATAGCATACCTGAAAACTATATATATATATATATATATATATATATATATATATGTGTGTGTGTGTGTGTGTGTGTGTGTGTGTGTGTGTGTGTGTGTATTTCATTCGACTATTTATTAATGGTATAAACATTATTTGCAGTTGGTACACTTATTAGTACATTTCTTGATCTTGACCGGTTGACATAAATTTTACCGGACATATGTTGATATGGACTTTTCTCTTTGTTCTGGAGGGAGGAAGCCGCCTCGGAATTTTGTAAAAGGAAAGGGTGTTTCATTAAGACGGATCAAAGTCAGCAGTAAATAAATCAGTGTTATTGGTGAAAATTTATTGGATCATGTTATTTAAGTCATGGCAATTATGTGTGAAAAATAATATCGCCCAAATGTCCAAGGCTTCGGCGGCACACATCCACTCGATAGTTAAAACTTTTGATGACGTCTCTGCATAGTTGCTCCTCGATCTCACCAATATGCCTTATTATCTGATCCTTCAACTGTTGAATTGTTGTTGGCTTGTTGGCATAAACCTTACTTTTGAGATGAACCTAAAGGAAGAAATCTAAGTCACACGATAATGGTGGCCAATTAACTTCATTGTTTCGAGAGATGATGCGACTTGGGAAAATTTCTGTTTGAACGTCCATTTTCGTAATAGGCTTCGATAACTTTAACACATTGTTTGGTTGTTAATCTTTCCAGAGTTGAAATTGCCAAAGACTTAAGTTGTTAAATCTGAAAGAAAAAGAAAAAAATCATTAGACGCTTAAACTTAATTCACATTTAAAATCGGTTCAAGTTATCTATATTTTTGATACACCCTGAAACTAAAATGTTTTCCTGAAGAAATTGATTTATTATTATTATTATTATTATTATTATTATTATTATTTTTTCTTTTGATTTCTGTTGTATACCCATTTCCTCCTGGGTCGTAAATCAGTGACCTAAGGTCATGACATTTTCCTAGGCATATTTGTGTGAAAAACATAAAATAAAAACAAACAAAGCTACACACATTTTGCAATAAATCCCTTCGTAATGTGTGAGCTGTGCTTACCAGAACATTTTCTTTTTTTTTTGGTATTTCTTTAAGGCGTGAGCTGCTAAGAATCTTTTCTGTGTGTCTA